TTTTTTATAAGTCCAAATTAGAATATAAACGAAATACAAAAAAGTAAAATAATATTTAAAAAAGTAAGGTTACGCCGTTTATAAAATAAAATTAGATTATAACACATCATAAAAATCAAATAATAAAAATTAGATTATAACAAAAAATAAAATTTATATTGTAATAAATAATAAAATTAGAATAATGCAACAAGACTTTAGATTTTTATAAGTAAATTTATACCCTAATTTTTTGTGACATAATAATTTACTATGTTATTTATATATTAAGTTATCTATATTTTTTTATTTAGGTAAGAATAACAAAAAATTCTCATATACCTAGAAATCCTATCTTTTTCAAAAAAAATGATATTATATTTTATACATTTATTTTAAGATAAGTCAATTTTAATTATATCTCACAACAGAGAAAGGATCAAATTAAATAATATAAAATTTACAACTATAATTCTATTCAAACAAAATAATTTAATTACTCATTTGCTTTCAATTATTCTTATTTGTAAAAAGTTAAATTAAAAAAAAAATTAATATTTTAAATTGCAATAAATAAAAATTAAACAAAATATAAAATCTTTTTAGAAATAAGAATAGTTGAAGGCAAATGAATAATATAATCTTTGGATATAATTATAGATGTAAATTTTATATTTCTTAATTTGATCCTTTCTCTGTCTCTGTTAGATTTAATTGAAATTGACTTATCCTAAAATAAATAGTAAATAATGTTACATCTTTTTTAAAGATGGGATTCCTAGGTATATTGCATATCTATATAAAATAATATAACTAATTTAAAAAATATATAAATATCAGTAAATTATTATGTCACGCAAAATTAGGGTATAAATTTACTCATAAAAATCTAAAGTCAGATAAAATGAAAAATATATATTTGAGACTCATGAAAATTTTTGTATTTTTAAAGGTCAATAATGATAGGTTTGATGGATCTTAATAGGAAACATTAATTATTACAGATCCTTTATTGGTGGGATATAATTGAAATAGATTTATACTAAAATAAATGAAAAAATAATTTAGGAAATAAAGTTACTTATTTTATTGAAGGGATTGGTTATTAGGTAAAAGAAAATTTGTATTTTTTATTTTTATTCACCTATATAGTTAAAATTTTATAAAAATTAAAAATCTAAATAGTAAGATAAAAAGAAAAATCCATGCTCATGACTTATAAATTGTTGGACACTAATGACCAGTATAATACTTACCCCTTCTAGACCCCCAGCTTATAAATATACAGTTATATGTTTTTAAGATTGGTTATTAAAATAAAAAGCATTTATTAGCTATTCTATAACAGTTTATTATTATAAGATAAATCTGATATGATTCGCGCTTGCTCTAGAAGATTTAGGAAAAAAATTCAAAAGATCTTATCTAGCATTTTCCCTAAAATTAATCCATTAGTGGAGCAATATAACTGTGTTCCTATTTAATATGCCAATTTCGTCAATCTTTTAATTTTTTAGCCGAAAGACCTGGTAAATTCATTCATTGTTGTCATAAGGGTAAAGTAAAACTTATTCAATCTGATTATTTATAAAATCTTTTATTTAATTCTTTAAATACCTTGTACAAAAATTTTATGCGTCATATTCGTTCTTACAATAGTTCTATTACTTTGCATCTGGAGGCACAGATTTCAGAGTTACCAGGTAATGGCCCTTACTGTTTTAAAGTTCATGGGCAAATTTATCATCGCACATCTCATCTTTCTACAAATAATGTTGGAGAACGTCCCTTTAAACGAGATATAAATTTTTTAATAATCCTTAACATGTTAAGTCCTAATTTAAACCAAATGGTATACCTTATATTATTTCCTCATGGAGATCCTGGTTGGAAGCCTAATATGATTGCTGAATGGTTTGAAAATTTTAGACGTTTAAAAATATCTGCTTCAATTTCAAATATCCCGTTTGGCTGTTAAACAAAATCTCTTTAACCCCCTTCTTAATGCTGAGAGTCAACAATGTATTGTAAAGACGGGATATCATTCCCTTATTCGATGGTAGATAAATCAGAAATTAAGCATATCTTATGAGGTATGGTCCACAAATTTACCTATTTTTTCGAAATTTTAATTATTTTTATAAAATATATTAATGAACTATATATTTAGTACCGTAAACCCCGTCATTCTTGACGGGTTATCAGCTAGTAATATATAAAAATCAACGTTTATAAATATTTAAATATAGTTAGTTTTGATTATAAAAAAATTTATGTAATAAAAATAATTATTTATGGTAATATTCATTTTTTATTTTTGTTGCATTTTAATAATAAAATCATTTCAATATTATCATCCCCAAGTCTAGAGCAACTATCAGAAAGTTTAAGTTTTGCCTTACTAAATAATCTCTCAACACTAGCACTTGAGGGTAAGGCAGTATTTAATTTTACATACATATTTATAATATAAGAGAGATTATCAAAAATACTCATTTGAGTATTAGATTTAAAAAACGGGATTTTCTATTATATTATCTTTTATTTCAAAAAAATTATCAGTCGAGGTCATTTTTGTGGTTGTAACTAGGCTACCTTTGTTTGGTATGAGACTATTCATTACCATGAGCCTATTACGTTGATCTTTAGCATCAGCGGAATTGATATATGGCCAGTTTAATTTTAAATTGAGATGAATCATTGCAGCTAATACATTATCATCATTGTATAGGTTGGGGAATCTAAAAGTCACAAAAATAGTATATTTATATTTTAATCATAAAATTTTATAAATTTTTAGCTTTTAACTTTAAGTTAGAATAAATTAATTTTATTTACCTTCTCTCAATGCCTTTTAACATAGAATCTACTAGGGGCTGGCAAAAGATTAGATTATTCAATCTCTGTAATTTTGTAATAAGTACTTAAAGTGGGAACATAATACCCCATCTTCATATTATCCTCTACTTCCAAAATTTCAAGTGAAAGAGCCACATATTGCATAACCTAAAAAATTAAAATCATATGAAATTGAATAATTATTAATTAGAATTTCATCTGTATACTCTTTTATAAAAGTATGCTCTTCATCGTTAATATATTGAATTCCAACATGATCACAGAGAAAATTCATTTCTAATCTTCTTTAATCCAGAAAAAATGATATTAATCTGATTGCGTGGTATACTGAGTTCTATCTAGTAGGGTTAGGAGTTAATAAATATCTGCCTAATTTATTTTAAATATGTCTGAGCTTTTTATAGATTTGTTTTGCTTATTCCATAGAGTGTGATTAAGAGTGGATCTTGATACCCTTTTAAAATATTCATTTTTTAATGCATCTTCAGCATCCACTGCTGCTATCAAATTTAGATTATGGCATGAGCATCTCTGATGATTAGGCATTAAAGCATTTTTCATCATTTTAGTTATCTTCTAACTTATTCAATAGTGTCTGGCGACATAAAATTGTTGTTAAGTGGATAGAGTTTTAATCATCATGATAAATAAAATGATGGATTATCAACCAAGGACATTGGCTAAACTGTATCAATTATATAATCAACAATAACTTTATCAGCTAGTTTTTGAGAAATATTGGCATGTGCATTATTAATCAATTTGTTTTGAATTGAATTGGTCTTTGGATGTAGAGTAGCCTATATGAAAATTATTTAGATGTTTTCTATGTCCTTAAAACTGTTAGCATGAACATTTTTATAAAATTAATACTATTAGAATTTAAAAATGACAATTACCTTTAGGTGTTTTTTGAGGTTATAGCTGCTGGATTGATTTAAGGATATATCAATTTTACATTTTAAACAAATAAATTTGTAGCCAGTTTTGGTTTTTATAATTTCAAAATATTTTTCAAATTTTGGAAATGGGAAATTTGTAATGTTATAAGAACATTTTCTTCTTGGGTATCTTCATTAATATAATTCTGACTGTTAAAGTTGGCAGGGAGAAGAACAAAATTAAGAAAGTGTTTTAAAATTTTTATTTTGTTTATTTAAAAAATTATTTATCTAAAAATGCAATATATTTTTATGCTTATATAGTTCATAAAAATAAATTTATATAAAATATATTTAATAATTGATATAATCAAACTATTGAGTTATAAAATGAGTCCGTAAGGTTAATAAGTTAATATAAAGAATAAAAAAAATCAATCCGTAAGGTTAATATTGAGTTAATAGATAGCGATAAAAAAATATTTAAAAAAATCAATCAGGACATCTCAACACTGACTCACTTTCAACGATTTGGATATCTATTTGCGATGACATTTTAAATAATTTACACGTGATTTAAGTTTATAATACAAATTGAAAATATATTACAATTTCAAAATTAAATAATAAATCATAAATATTATATTATAATTAATTATGATATTATATTTAAATTTTCATGATTATATTTATTCATTATATTTTTAAAAAGTAACCAAGTAGCGCGCGCGCTACGCTACTAAAAGGAGCGCGCTAAAAAAATAAATAATTTTAAAAAGTAACGCGCTATTAGCTATAGTTATCAAAAAAAATAGCTTAAAAACTCTGAAAATCAGCCAAACTTAATAATATTTCAATAAATAATAATTTTAGAATATTAGAAAATTTAGGATGAAAGATATTGAATTACAAGTAACTCATACCCATTTTAAAAATTTTACACCTATTTAATTTAATATCGAGTCGAGTTTATGGTAATCGAAAAAATAAAAAACAATGTATTATACTATTTCCAAATATTGAAAAAGAAAATTCAATATTTCTTTTGAACTTGAAATTTCAGGAGTGTGTGATTTATTATAAAATAAATTATAAAATCTTTGCCATCTCTAAAATTATAATTTTGTATCAATTTTTTATTGGAAGATATAATAAAAATATTTACTATTCATTTTATAAAATATAAACTCTATCATATTTTTAAAATGGTCCAATTACAGATCAAACATTAATTTTATTATGACCAATGACGATGCTTTACGTCAGATTACACTTAAATTTTAAAGGAATTTTCTTGGATTAAGTGTGCCCTCGGATATTCTTTTATATTCTTTATAGTCAAATCTTTATTGTTTAAAAATTTCAAATGGATAACGCTCACATTTATTCGGCGAAGGAAGCATTGAATTATTTTAATGTACAAGAAAATGAAGGCCTTTCAGAGATACAGATAAAGTCAAATTTAGAGAAATTTGGATATAATGGTAAATTCCTTATATGAAAAAATTTATAATGTTATTTTTTTATTTTACAGAATTGCCAGCAGAAGAAAGTATATTATATTAATTTTTATAAAATATTTATCCTAATATGTATTAAAGCAAAAGTTATTTTTTTTAATAATACTTATAATTATCAGTAATGTTTTATTATACAAAATTTTAACAATATATAAATCAATAAAGGCTTATTTTAGTAAGTTATATAAACCTCACTTTTATTTAATATCAAAATGATTTTGCTTTTAGTTTTGTATTAAGTATTATGATAATTTTATTGATAATTAGATAATTTATTGTTGATTACTTTTTTGGTGAAATATAAAGAATTTTTATTTTATAAGCCTTTGGAAAATAATCATAAAAAAGTTATTAAATATTTCTTAAAATCTTTTTTATAGCATTTAAATGAAATATTTATATCAAAAAGTTATAGTCTTATTTTTTTATTGTATCCAAATATTTTTGGGATTCATCTCATTTTTTGTAAATTTTTCTTTGATATATTTTTATACCACAATTGCATTTTTAATATAATTAAGTGAGTAGCAAAAATTATCCATATATAAGAGTTTCAAAAAATAACTAATTTGGATTTCAAATAAATAGGATTATATAAGTTAAACAATTAATTTGTTAATTTATTGAATAACTCATAGGCTTTGCTGGGGAGGGGTCATGGATAATTATTCCCCCCTCAGAAATTTGCCTATTCTTGTAAATATCATTTTAAATAAAATTAAATATTTTTTATGAATGTGTACCTATAATGTAACAGGAATGCAAAATTCCTTTGTTTTGGATTATTAATTCTTACTATTTAAAATAATTTTGCATAATTGAATATCACATTCACACCTAAAATGATTTTAAAATATAATTGATTATCATTTATAGTACAAATGAAAAAAAACATGATAGCCTAGGTGGGGTCCCCTTGTACTACAATTAAAATACACAATATCTTAGAATTAAATTTATTTATAGTTTCATATTTTAAACATATAGTCACATGAGAATTAGGTTATTCTATATCCACTTTATCAAAAATGACTTATATACATAAATTTATTATATTATAATTATATCATTCTATTCACATTAAAAAATCCTAAATATTATAAAATAACTCAAATTGAATCTGATACTAGGTTAACAATCCTATTGTAAACAATAGAAATTTAATTTTTAAAAAAGCTCCACTATAAAATTATAAAAAATGTAGTTAGAATATTCAAATTCTCAGATGACGATATATTAAATACTAATAAATTGACCAAATTATTTTAAAATTTAGTTATCATTTTGAAATTTTTTCCAAGAGATTCAAAAAAGTGATAAATTTTAAATGTTACAATGTAATATAAAAAAATATAAAAATTAAATTGATAATGTAGTTTGTTTATTTAAGGTTCATTATATGAATATAATACAATTTTTAATTAATAAAAAGGTGTATAAAAAAGTGTTTATTTATGCTTAATATACTAATGCTAAAAAAAGTCACATGGATGACCAGTTAGGGTTTATATAAACCTTGAGCTCCAAAAAAATTATTAACTTATGAACTACTGAACAAAACCAATATTAATTTTGCATATATATACTTTTCCTAAAAATACTAAGTTGCTAAAAGATCCAGGCAAAAATTAGAAAGAATTTTGATTAATAACGTTTTTTAAATGACTCTTGTCTGCATAGAAGCACCTAGAGGTCTGCATTAGGCGGGTTTTTGGACCAAAAGCTCATCCACCTAATGTTTATAAAAAATTTAACCCCCCCCCCCCCCACGCCCAACCTGCCCATAGTTTTCAAAAAAATATATATCTGCCGGCCCTGCCCATTTGTTTAAAATTCCTTACCCGCCCACCCATTAGTCTAAAATTTTTTACCCGCCCTTCCATTATTTATAAAAATTTTTAACTTAAGTCCACTTATAATATTTAATAATGGCCATTCTTTCAATTTTTTAAGCATCTAATAAAAATATTTCAGCATTACACCTCTACAAAAAGTTTAAAATTTAGGAAATTAATTTAAGCATAAAAAAATATTCAATTTAATTTATTAACAATTTATTCGATCAAATAGAATATTTATGAAATAAATATAAATATAAAATTGATATTATATGTAATTATAATGCAAAAATAATAATGAATCAACATTTTCTGGTTTTTAAACACGTTCTTCTTTGTTCTAAAAACCTTCCAGCAATGCTAAATCCTCGTTCAGAAGAAGCACTAGTTGCAGGAATCGCCAATATTTTTCTTGCTAATCTTGATAGCTTTGTAAAATCTCTTGTCGTTTCCACCAAAGTAGGATATCCATCTGAAGTATATCCTATTACTCAAGTGAGATCCGGATGTCCCATATGCATTATATGTTAAACTCTTTTTTGAAGTGAGTACAAAGATTAATATGCCATTCCAAAATATAATACCGTGCTATTTTCGTAATCGTTTCATGCTATATTCGGAATAGTAACAGAACAAAATACTTTACAGTTTTATAAACCAGAACTCGAGTTAATATTAAAAACAGAAGCATCTAACCAAGGATTTGGAGCTGTATTCATGCAAAAATATGATAATGGTAACGAATTTCCAATAGCTTACACCTCAATAACTTACAAGATGCTGAAAAGAATTATTCTAGAATAGACAAAGAAGCTAAAGCAATAATAAACGGCATAGAAAAATCTCATAACTATTTGTATGGACGAAAATTTAAAAATTGAACAGACCACAAACCTTTAATAAAGATATATGGTAATAAAAGAGATTTAAGCTCATTAACAAACCAAAGATTATTACGTTGGGCTTATAAATTATCTGCATATGATTATAAAATAATGTACAAGAATGGCGCTAATAATATAATTGTAGATGCTTTATCGCAAAACCCAAGAGAAAAATGATAATAGAATAACAAGTTAAAATAAAACAGTGAAATATAAAAGAAATCTTACTTATTACTGAACCCTATCAAGAAAATATACAAAATCAAGAACCAGATTTACAAGCTTTTAGAACAAGAATAGATGAAATAGAAAATAATGACGGTATTTTATTTTGGAATGGCAGATTAATCATTTCGTACTCACTTCAAAAAAGAGTTTTGCATATATTGCATACGGGACATCCGGGTATTACAACAATGAAATCCATTACGAGACATTATATATGGTGGGAAAAATTAGATAAAGATGTTGAAAAACTAGAAAAGTGTTCTTCACTTAAAAAAACGATTGGTACAATAAAAAAGGAAATATTGTTATTGATCATAATTGATTATGATTCTCTTTAGTATGTTTTTTAACAAAAATTTTAAATTTCCCCCATTGTTTAAATTTCTTAACCCGCCCACCCAACCGCCCCCATAGTTCAAATTTTTTTAACCCGCCCGCCTGCCCATTTTTAAAAATTTTTTACCCGCCCATCCTCCCGCCCACTTAGATGGGCGGGCGGGCCGAAACCCCGCCCAATTCAAACTTCTAGTTGCACCTATGATATGAAGGGTTAAAAAAAATGAAAAGGTGATATATCTTCATATCATATCATATCATATTTTATAATATTGAATAAAATAGATAAAGAATAAAGTAAATTTATCAAATTTAATTTAAATTTAATACATAACATTAAAACACAGAATAAAATAAATTTTTTTCAGTTTGAAATATATTTCCTTATTCCATTTATAAAAAGCCAGGCTGCTACTGGGCCTAAAATAATATTTTAACCAGTAGAACTTTGAGTAAATTTATGGAATGGGACCAGAATTTAGAATTTCTGAAATTTATAAATTTCTTATTTAATTCTATAATTAATCCATTTAACAGGTGCATATATTAATTTCTTTTTATTTTCTAAATCCTTACAAATGGTACACCTTGTAATTTTTTGGAAAACTATAGAAAAATGGTGACCTTGCTAGAGCCTTAAGGAAGCAAGCTTAATATTCCAAAAAGAGAGAATTTTTTCAGGTGACTTTATAGGTCATAGACCAAATGTAAAAAAAGGCCTCAAAAAATTAATTCCCTGTTATCACAGGACTTGATTTCAGCTCTCAACAAAAAGAAATAAAATAAATGTTAATGAATTAATTACTTTCTTCTGTCTAGATCCTAGGTTTAAATCTCTTTTGAACGAAGAGGAAAATAATATAGCTATAAATCATTTATTGGTGACATGGTAATAATAAAAATTTTAAGGATGGAGATTTAAATATAATAAGTAATTTTAGATAAATCTTCTCAAGAAGTACAAGAATATGATGAATTAGAAATGTTTCTAAGTTCCAAAGATAAACAGCAAAATTTACAAAATGGATGATATTCTATCAAAAGTAAATCGACCGGGATCGTCTAGATAAATCAAAAAATTTGTTAGGCTACTGGGAATCCAAAATAAAAAATTTAATCCTGTATGAATTACTGTTGACACTCAAATTTATACTAACGCCACAAAGAACCGATATATAAATGAAAATCTATTTAGAAAATATATCATTGCTTCGATGTGATAATTGTTCATTTAATGATTAAATTAAGATTAATTAAAATGTTATTTTTCTAGAAACATTCCCACAAGTGGAACGGAACAATTTTTTTGATCGGAAATGGCCTGAAACGGGAACGCAGAAATGTACTTGTTTCGGATCCCTGATTTTAACTAATGATCTACATCGGGCTTAATTTTTCATTGGTTTTTTAAAAAATTTGTCTTGTCCAGCCCGATCCTGAAGGAATTTTTTTTTATTTGTCCCAAAAAACTCTACCCGAAATAATAATTTGTCTACCCGGAACGAATTTATTTAAATATAGAAAAATTTAATATTTTTTTTGATTATAAGAAAAATATTTTATATATAAAAAATATTTGCGCCTTGTTTTTTGCAAAAATTTTAAATATCATTTTATTTGACAAAATATAATATATTAAAATTTTAAACTTGACCCGGCCCAAAATTTTTTAAGAATATTAGGCCCGGCTCAGTCCTAACCGAAATTAGTTTTTAAAAATGACCCAGGCCATGATTTGCAGATTTCTAATTTTACCACCAAGCTTTGGACAGGCTTGAGCTAAAAAAGTAGATTTTACAGTTTCCTACCTCAACACTTAATTAAAATATTACTTAAATATATTGGGTAGATTGTGTTTATTTAAACATCCTCCTACAACTGCAGGGATTGGGCCTAAAAAATTTAAAAAATTGAATCAGGCTTAAATTTTTTTAGCCCAGGCTTTGGTCGAGCGACTTTTAGGGTTCAATTTATCGACTATACTTACAAAAATAGTATTTAAATCGAATAATTTTGTTATTCGTATTCGAATCGAACAATTTTTTTATTTGTATATGTAAAATACAAATAGAATCAAATAACCCATAATTATTTTTAGAGTATATTCTAGACATACAATATTAAAATCTTGTAAATATAGCCACATTACTACCATTATTTTTGACTCTTTATTATACATTTGTTTCTAGCTAAATCCATATGGCTTCTCGTCCTGGAGCAATTCAACGATCTATTGGTTCGTATACTTCTGCTCGCTGCCATGATATCCTTTGTAAGATCTTATTTATATTTGCATTATATTACAATTCTTGAATATCCACTCTTATATATATTATTGTTGTAAAATCGGCTAAAATAAAATACCGAGCCAAAAATGTGATGGAAGTATCCAAGATGTGATTCCTTCATTTAAAGAAAAGAATAGGAAGAAATATAAAAATCGTTTTTTTGGCTAAAAAGCCGCTTATTTTTAGTTAATTGATATGCCCCAACATAATCGAATCTAGAATTTTCATAAGCTTTGTTATTTTTTCGCCATATTGGATTTTTAGGCCTCTATTTTTGAAGGCTTTTGGTTAGTGAACTCAGGTTAAGGACCAGATTCCTGGCCTGCCTTTTTATCTTTTCATTTATATTAATGTGAATATCCTATTGAGGTATATAATCCATGGGGATTCGGAATATATATTTATCATTTACTTAGGGCGATTCAAATGTTAAAAATCGGATTTTACCATAAATTTATTCCAGCATGTCTAAATTGCATATTATATAAATTTCAGACAATTTTGCCTATAAAAGTATTTCAACATTTTAAGGCACAATTGTAAATAAAATTAACAGTGTAGGTACTCTACACATGTTAGAATACATTTCCGGTCCAAGTCAGGTTTTAAGATTCAAAAATCGCTCAGCAAATGATATAAAATTGACAGATTTCTAATTTTAATCGACATATATAATTCTAAAATTATGATACAATTAGCTTTTTCAACTATAATATAAAAAATATTGCCTTTCGATCTTTTCCGATCTCAGGACAGGCGTGCCTGGATATGCCTTTTTTATTATCAAATCGCGGTTACTGTAAACGAGGCCTTAACCTTTTATATTAATTTTTTTAAAAAATTCGAATATTACATTTTTCAACAACATATTGAAAATTAATTCGTGTCAATTAATCAATTTTTTTTATACAGGCCAATCAATCATATTTTTATATTGTTAAAGATCATTTTTTATTTTATTGGAAGACAGATATTTAAATTAAATCGACATTTACGAATATAAATTTCATGATTGTAACGGTCCTTTTCTTCGTAGGTTCGGGCTTCAATCAAATTTTTATGACACCTTTAAAATATTCATAAATGAATAAATTTTTGTATAAAAAAATCTTTAAAACAAATGTTAGTTTTTTAAACACAGTTCGTGATCACGTTACAAGAATATTTTCTCCTTTGTTTTTCAAATCAATAATTAAAAAGAATAGAAAATACAAAATTTCGAATATATTGGAAACATATGTAAAATTATTAATAAAATAATATTTTGAAATAACTAAATCTTTTTATATATACCAGCTTAATCCAACGCCTCCAAATAGAGATTACCCAGAAAGTTTTCTAATCCCAAAAAATTGGGATTCGCAAAGCCAAATATATTAAGCAAACAAACTATCAGGGTGAATGTATTAAAAAAGCATTATAATTCTACTTTGACTTTTTTCGAGAATTAATTCAAACGTTATAAAAGAGCTAGGAAAATTAACCCCCTAGAAGTAAGGTGGGAGGGAGTTAAGACGCTTTTTTAGCCATTTTTTAATAACAATATATCTTTCTCAAACTAAAATTTTGTAAACCATATTCCCACAATTTCGAATTTTATTTTGTAATAAAAAAATTGTTTTTTTTAGATTCATGTCAATAAAATTTTTTAAATATCTTGAAACTTATATTATTCAATGTTTATTAATTAATAGATTAATATAAAAAAATTATAATAGAGAATTTTTATTTATTTTTTATATAAAATTGATGTTATACTTGAAAAAAAATATAATGCGAGATATTTTTTTTTATTGAGAACCCTCAAAAAATACTAATTCATTATTTAATGCATAAAAACCTATAAAATTTTGCACACATTAAAGGAAAACTCTTAATAAACCAGTTGATCCCATTCATTTTTATAGAGGTATTTAAATCAACTATATTAATACTTACCTAGATTGACTCATTCCGCCGAAGGCGTTTACTACAGCCAATGACATTGACTATAAAACCAGAGCTTGAAATTTTTTTAATTGAACATAAAATCTTTAAGATCAATTGAAGTTTTTGTAAAAGAAACATTCTAACTGAACTGAAATCAAAACTGATAGATATGAGGGGGGGGGTGAAGGAATATAAATTAAAAATAGAAGTAATAAATAATATTCATTTTTCAGATTCTGTACCTTAGGATGTCAGCTGTTCCGATTTTTATAAAATATATCCAAATCTAAAATTTTAATGAAATAGTATCTTAAATTTTTAAAATTTTTCTTAAAAAAAGGCTTATTTTTTCATTTTCGATGAAATTATAAAAGTTTGCTTAAATTTTTTGATATTTTGGACACAGCATAATTGGTTATATTTCTCCACATCCGACATTTTGATATATAGAACGATGGCAATTTTATAAGTATCCCCAATCTTAAAAATAAATGGATTGATCTTCAAAGTTTAAATAATGTAATTTTTTTGGGCTAATATCTTCATTCCGCTAAATTAGATTCAATCTCTAATCCGTATGGCTGTGTCCTTCTTTATTTTTGGATAGTTATTGGATTGTGATTTCAGTCGAAAACAATAAGAATAAATAAGTTCATCGCTTTTTATCAAAATTATTTTTTTTAAAAACCTAGGACGAATCCATATTGTTATTTTTCGGATAGATCACAACAAAGATACCATCAAAAAGAAAGGACCAGTTGAAACTAAATTGAATTTTTTTTTGTAACCTCACAAATTAAATTTTCGCCTGAAAATAAAAAAAATTAAACCTAACTTTACTTTTGCGCGAAAATTTGAAACGATAAAAATTTTAATATCGATAATTTCAGTTGCCATAACGTTACAAATCTGTTCACAGCTGCTTTTATCGATTTTCATGCGAATATTTTATAATTATTTTTTTTATCACACATCATAATAAAATGTTTGAAGTCATTTTTATTTTAAAATTTATAAAGATCAAAATATTTTTTTTTATCAAAGATCCTGCTCTATAGGTCATTTTTCTGTTAAAAAGTATTTTTATCTTTTTAGCACTGCTGGCAATCATAATAAGAGTTCTACTCAGCATAATAAAATAATTATAGATTCTGCTAAATGCATTTAATTTGGGTGAATAAATATATTGAAAGTCCTAAACCTAATCAATAAATCCCGTGGAAGAAATTATATCAATTTAAAAAAATATGTATCTAGATACTCGCTTGGTTTGAAGAGAGCAGTAGCCAAATCACCGCTTTCGTTGAACCTTTCGTTATATTACTCATATTGATCGCGAATGCCGCCGTCGGCGTGTGGCAGGTTTTTATTTTATGCTTATGTATAAAAACCGAGAAACTTTAATTTGAGTTCATGCCAGTTGTAATATAATATTATCTTCATTATTGATTAATATTCTGGGTTTTATTTAATAAGTCCTTTAATTTTTTTTTAAAATATTTGTTTTAGGTTTTTTATATTGTTGTCTCGTTGATCAAAAAATATATTTTCCTCCGAGCCATATCTATTATCTCCTTCTTTAAGATATAATTAATATATAAAATATTCGATGAAGCTATTCATCACTATAAAGTTTTTATCTATATAAATCCTTGATGTTGATATGATATTATATTTTTTCTTAAAAGGAATAAAAATAAATAATTTTTTTGCCACTTAATATTTTAGAAATTATTACAAAAAATACAATGCAATATAATAATCATGATTAAATTAATATTAAAAATTCAATTTACTTTATCGATTTTTGATTATTGAATTTGAATGGTGGCGTTTAAAATGCTATTATTATAATTAATCGAAATCAATTATATTTATAATGGAGAAAAAGATTGTATTTTAATAGTTTTTTGATTTTTTTATAAATATCGCAATTATTTACATAAAATTGGAAGAAAAATAATTTAATAGAATTTTAGTGTAGAAATATATGTAATGCTTGAAAACATAAGGAAAGAAATGCTGAAAGTGCAATTGAAGCTTTGAAGGAATACGAGCCTGAAATGGCCAAAGTCCTGCGAGAGGGTAAAAAGGGTATTCAACAAATAAGATCATTCGAGCTTGTACCAGGAGATATCGTTGAAGTGGCCGGTAAATATTTACATTTATTTTATTTAAAATTATTTGTTTAATTTTTAAAATTATTTGTTTAATTTTTAAAATTATTTGTTTAATTTTTAAAATTATTTGTTTAATTTTTAAAATTATTTGTTTAATTTTTAAAATTATTTATTTTTTAGTCGGGGATAGTGTTCCAGCTGATATACGCCTAACAACAATATTATCTACCACTTTACGAGTCGATCAATCTATTTTGACAGGTATACCTATACCTATCAGTTTTTCTAATCCTCAATATTTATATATGTATATTATTAAGGCATATGTATATCAGTTTTTCTAATCCTCAATATTTATATATATATAATTATTAAGGGGAAAGCGTGAGCGTTATAAAATACACAGATCCCATTCCTGATGAAAAGGCAGTCAACCAAGACAAGAAAAATTTACTTTTTTCGGTAAAAACATTATATATTTAACCAAGATGTACCGATATCACTTTTCCCGGTTATCGATACCTCGATACATCCGGGTATTGAGCGGAACACTAATACCTATACCCATTTTAAAAAATTTACTGAAAAAACATACAATAATGAGCTTTTTTATTTAAATTTATCTTCTATTAAATATAGCGTAATATATATATATAATTTAATTCCGAGTTGTTAAAAGATTACTTTTCAAATGTATCTAGATGTAGATATTAAAATAGTATCTAGATACAGATAGATAGCTAAAAATATATCTATATAGTGCAATTTTTACAATATACAATTAAGATATAGTAAGATGTCTATAATCTCAAAATTTATCTTGTTTTTTTTAATATTCTATTTTAATATTTTATTTTTTTTCCTTTCTTTTAAGGATTGTGATTAGTTTCTTTTTTAGAAAGGCGCTAGTCAGACAGGAAATATATAATATAATAAAATTTTTATTTCATGAAAGAGGATTAAAAATAAACACGAGTTTGAAAAAACAGGGAAGAATAAATTAATTTGATAAATAAAGATATTTTAAAAAACTAACAATTATTACTATAAATTATAAAAATATTTAATATATATTATTTTGCGAGAAAATAATTTTTTTTATTGCAAATTTGATCGAAAATTTATTCAACTAACCTATCTCCCATCTTCTATTTAAAAAAAATTATTAGAATAATTTATTTTGGGGAATTATCTTCCACGATTCTAAATTAATAGACCAATATCATGTTATATAAATATTAATTTGTTTAATATCATTAGGGCACAAATATAGCGTCCGGTAAGGCAAGAGGCGTGGTTATAGGGACCGCATTACGAACTGAAATGGGTAATTTAAAATTTATTCAAATTTTAATGCTTTTTTTAAATGTAGGCAAAATACGAAAAGAAATGCAAGAAACCGAAACTGATAAAACTCCATTACAACAAAAATTAGACGAATTTGGCGAACAATTATCAAAAGTTAAAAATATATATAGAGAATATAATAGGATGAAAGAAAGGGGGAAATTTTTATTATTTTCCAAGCGATTTTATTCTCGTTTTTTATATATTTTTATATTCAAAATTATTTTTTTACATTCCTTGAATAGGTTATCTCGGTAATATGCGTTGCCGTGTGGCTAATTAATATAGGCCATTTCAATGACCCAGCTCATGGGGGTTCCTGGCTCAAAGTTAGATAATAAAAAAACTGAATTTATAAATCATGAGTAGTTTCAGAGTTCTAAGATACACAAAGATCCTACTATAACTTGTATTTTTCTTCACATTTTTGATAAGATACTTAAAGATTTTATTTTCAAAAAATCTTGAAACTTTTTAATATCCTTAATATAAGATATAGATATTTATTAAAATTTCTATTTAAAAAATTCAAAATTTACTTTTAACATTTTTTTTCGTGGATTCCTGCATTAATTTTGTTTTTTCTTTCCTATCTTTATAATTTAAAATGGTCATTATTTTATATTTTGGTATACCAACTTTATTATTATGCAAACTCTGTAATTATGATTTCTTGTCCATATTTTTATTAATAATTATGTTCAAATAATCATATTATTTTATGGGGAAGAATTAAATACATTTATCTATATTTCACTGTCCATGTCTAACATTTTGGATTTCCCCTTTGACTGCATTCGAATCCAAATTTTGTATTAAAACATTGCTTATGCGTTCTCTATCTTGTAAATAGTTGCTATTAATTGTGTAATTGCTTGCACCGTTTATTGGATATATGAAATTTTTGTGGAAAAGTAGGGTTACATTTAACTTTTGACAAAATGGCACAATAAAGATATATATTTATGTTTATATATATTTAACTATGGATACTTAATATGAAATATTGTTCTTTATCCCATTTAAAAATGATATATTATCATTATTCAAAAATAATATAATATCATTTCCCTATTCTTATAGTACGACTTATAGCTATTTTTATAAGCTACAGGTAGCCGAAAGCAATTATAAAGCCATTCCCCACCTATAGTTATAGGCACCAATAATTCCGACTCAGATTTATATATAAAAAATTTGTAGTTTTTTAAATTTGATAATTTTACCACTTAGCTTGGATTTGTAATATTTAGGTTTATTCGGGTTGTCAGGCCTGCAATGCTGTAGCCTAAAAATGATTGCCAATATTATTACGACTTCTCATTAATTAAAAAATTAAACATTATAAAATATTATTTTTAGGGGGCTGTCTACTATTTTAAAATTGCCGTTGCGTTGGCAGTAGCTGCTATCCCTGAAGGTTTACCTGCTGTCATAACTACCTGCTTAGCATTAGGAACCCGTAGAATGGCTAAGAAAAATGCGATTGTTAGGAGTCTACCTAGCGTTGAAACTCTTGGTTGCACTTCCGTTATTTGTTCTGATAAAACTGGAACCCTAACAACTAATCAAATGTGTGTGGTCAAGTTTTTCATATGCTCCTTTGGGCCAAATGCCCCTGGGAACTCAGGCGGAGATAAGGGGCCCTCAAAGGTACAAATTTTTTCTTGAATATTTTAATTAAATCTTTAGGGTTGTAAAAATGGATTAATTTAACTAATGATGCACTATAAAGTTCTTAATAAAAATTCTAATATTCTATGGAAGCAAAACCGTTGACAATTCAGAACTAATAATTTTATTTAAACTGATGATATTAATTTGAAATTATTTGATTATATACAACAAACACTGTTAAAGAATGTATTCGAACTATTCCCCGAGAGCGCCTCTAATAACGTGAAACTGGAAGAATTCGACGTTACCGGCTCAACATATGAACCAGTAGGCGAAGTTCTTCAGAGGGGCAAACGCATAAACACATCCCAATTTGAGGCTCTTTACGAACTGGCAAGCATCTGTTCTTTGTGTAACGAATCCAGTGTCGACTTCAACGAGCATAAAGGGTTCTACGAAAAGGTTATATTCTAAATTTTGTTTATTTAATTGATTTATTTCTACTCTTATATTCGTAAACCAGGTTGGAGAAGCCACTGAAGCCGCGCTCACTGTATTGGTAGAGAAACTTAACATATCTCATTTAAACAAAAGTAACGCCATTAAACGGGATTTGGCCATGATATGCAACAATAAAATATCTGAAGAATGGGAAAAAAAACTTACTCTGGAGTTTAGCAGGGATAGAAAATCTATGAGCGTCTATGCGTTTCCGCTAAAAGGTACTAGTTGTTCTCTATCTATAGTATCGAATTTTTTTTATTTCATTTATTTACCCTTGACTTTTCTAATTGATTTAATCTTATATCTCAAAAAATAGCATATTTTTATTTTTAAAATTTTAATTGATATGTACTGTGTTTTACATCGTAATTAAGGTGTAGCTGCCGATAACTTTGCTAACGCAATGGCTCCCAAATTGTTATGCAAAGGCGCCAGCGAGGGTGTTCTTGAAAGATGTAATTACGTCAGGATTGGTAAGGCTAAGGTGCCTCTCGGGGCCGAGCTCAGGAAGAGAATTTTGGACTTGATCCGGCTATACAGTTCCGGTAAATCTTTTTTTAAATAATATTGCTATTCAATTTTAAATCGAATAAATTTTAAGAATTCCTGATATAAAAAGTGCACCTTTAAAATTTTAGAAACATATTAGTAAAATTTTTTAAACCAATATTTCAGGTCTAGTCACCATTTATAATCTCTTAAAATTACATACATAATTTCTTATAAAATTATCAATGCCCTATAAGGTAAGGATACTCTAAGGTGCTTGGGTCTAGCCACAGTTGATGACCCTTTGCCAATAAATAAATTGGATTTGACGGACGCGAATAACTTTATCAAGTACGAAACAGATATGACTTTTGTAGGATTATGTGGCTTGTTAGATCCACCTAGAAAAGAAGTCTTACCTGCTATAGTGGAATGTAAAAACGCTGGGATACGAGTCATCGTTATTACTGGGGATAATAAAGTTATTATATTTATATTCTATGAAGTTAACTTTTTTAAAATTATAAAATATTTTGTTTTACTCAGGGTTGGCAAGTCGGTCAATTGACCAGTCAAATTCAGTCAATTGACCGGTCAATTGATCGGAGGAGTATTTGACCTGTCAAATACGGTCAAATACTCTAAAAAATTTAAAGGAAAAATAAATTAAAAATAGGTTTAAAAAAAGGGAAAAAAGATGTAAATACATGTGATCACAATGTTTGCTTATTTTTTGGGTCCACAATATCAAGAGGAAAACTCACTAGTAGTGAAATTATTGAAGTATGTGATATAATTCAAGAATTAGCTATTTTACAAGGTAGTGATGACCAAAATATTTTAAGTGATATAATTAATTTCAGAAGCAAAAACAGCATGTTTAATATAGCAAAATATGTGGAAAGTAGTAATTTCCAGAAACAATCAATTCCGACCTCAAGTGAATAGATTAAACTTTGTCTACCCTGCCCATTAAGAGACTAACAATTCCTAGTTCTACTTCTTCTTTATAAAGAAATAGGTCGATTTGGGTTAATATTCTTATGAAAATAGAAATCGATTTAAGATCTAAGATATCAGGAAAATTGTTTAAAAAATATTAAAGAAAATGATAATATTGAATATGAATCAGAACAAGACTCTGATACAGATAGCTACACGTTAGTTATTGAATGAATTTAAAAAATTAATATTATAGATTCATTTTACTATTATATTCAAAATAAAGTTAATATTAACTTAAAAAAAATATATTTGAATTTGAGCACATTTGACCGTAATTGACCATATTTGGCCTGTCAAATATCGGTCAATTGACCGAAACGTATTTGACCGGTCAAATGCACAACCCTGGTTTTACTACATATCTATTAATCCTAATTTAGGCTACTGCCGAAGCTATTTGCAGAAGGATAGGAATATTTGGAGATCTTGAAGATACCAAAGGTAATTTTCTTTTATAAAGTAAAAAAAAAAAACTCTTGTTATACTTTTATACATTTTTAGACCGATCTGATATCACCAATCTAAAGTTTTTGCGTAATTTATACGGCAATTTTATATATCGGATTGGTCAATTTCAAAATATCTCTCAGTATATGGCACAAACGCAATTTTTCTAATTTATATTTGATCAATTTACAATTGAAGTTCCATATATTTACATCCCATTTTAAAAAAAACTAGATAACTAGCAAATAACTCATATTTTTATATTATATGCTAGCGTCAATATGTTTTTTCCTTCAATGTGATATTTTTCAACTTTAATCATTTATCGAGCCTATTCTTTAAAGCTTAAAAATCTGACTTTACTGGAAATATTCCATCATTTTTAGAGTACATAACCTATCAATTTTATACAATTTAGCCTTTAATTTTTCAATCATTTATAATTTATACAAAAAATTCACAGGAAAACGAATGTAAATTATATTAAGTTTAATAACTCATGGCAAAATTTTCTAAAAATCACAAAGTAGGTTTTCTAATAGTAAATCAGATTTTTTAATTTAAAAAAGCTTGTGTTCAAAAAGTAATTTAAATCTGAAAAAATAACACATTTACGCTATATATATTAGTATTATTCAAATCTGGATGGACAAGGAAAAATATATTTGATTTAAATCAAATGATATTTTTTTAAAACTTAAATTCAGGTCCTAAGTCGGAATTTTCATGCTTATAAAATATTAAAACGATTTTTTCTGAAACATTAGAAATTTTTTACACTAATCATACAAAATCAAAATTTATTACAGCTATATTTTTCAGAATATCAAACACAAATATAAAATGTTGGAAAATACAAAAAATTAATAAGAGCGAATTTAGATTATGCATATTGGTAAAAAAATATTTTATGCAGGCTTCGAACTGTTAATTATATCGGTTGGTTTCAGTTTTTACTTTAAAATTTTATAAAGGTTTTGTTTCATTTCGGGTTTTGTTAAAAAAATTCTTATCGGTTCTGTTTAGTATTTATAACGGTTTTTTCAGTTTATATAAATTTGATTTTTAAAAATAATTAATCACAAATCATATATTAATCTTAGAGAAAAATCTTTTTAATTTATATTTTTATAATTCCTTATTTAATTTAAACATGAAGATTATTTCTTATCTAATTAACTAGTAATTTGCCTAATTTCTATTAAATTGAATATATAAAGTAAAAACAATAAACTTGGCATTGATTGATATGAAGATAATGGCGATTTAATTGTATAAAAAATTATAATTTGAAAAGAAATTACGGATTTTAATTGCCCCCAAGAAAAATTAAAATTACTAATTTAGGTTAATAAATTTAAAATTAATTATTTTTAAAAACCTTTATAATTTGGTTGCCTATATTTTCTTTATAATGGTTACAGTTCAAAAAATAATAACGTTTCGTTCCTGTTTCGCAGTTCAGTTCGGTCAGAAGCGCTGATTTTATGTAATAAATCGGTAAGTAGTTCATATTAAAATATAGAATTAAACTATTAATGATTTAAAAATATGATCTTTGGCATATAGCCAATTTTTCAATAAGTTCTGGGGATCTTTATTTCTTTATATAATTAGAGTTGATCTATTCAATCAAGTTTCTGATGTATTTCTGTGATGAGTTTTATAAAAGAATAATTTTCTCAGTGTTTGTGTTTATTAGTAGTTGCCAAAATATGCAGTAATTTTAATATATCTGAAAAAAACTAAAAAATATTTTAAAGTATGCTATGCTTGCATTTTTTGGAATATTATTTGTCCTTGTATGTTAAAAACATATATTCTCATTAAACGTCATACATCTGATTGGAGAAAAAAATTATTATTATTATTTAATGTAAAAAAAATAATAATTATTATAATAATATATTTTTTTTAATTATTCATTATTAAAATTTTTGAAGTTTAAAAAGAAGAAATAATAATTATTATAATATATTTTTGATTTATAAAAAATATGATCATTCTTGTTTTTATGGAAAAAAAATAAAGATAATTCTGTTTCTGTACGTCAAAAGTTGATATATTCTTTCTACAATAATTCTGTTTCTATACGTCAAAATTATCTTTATTGGTTATCGATACTTTAATATCCTCTGAATAAAAAGAAAGTGTAATTTGAATTTTTAGAGAGCTGGGGTGGAGGTGTCCTCTGCCCCTCCCCTTTGCTGGTTCACATGTTTTAATCCCATAATAAATAATAAAATAAAACAATTTGTTTTGTTTAATATTTTTTATTTTGGAACCTGCTAATTATAAAAAATTTAAAATTGTAAATTGTAAACTATTTTTTGCATCAAATTTTGAGCAAAATCTTTGAAAAAAAAATTAAAATATTTATTTTATGATTTCATCATATAAGATATAAAATAATTACTTAGATTTTTTTTGGAATTTTGGGCAGAATTTGAACAAAAATCTTGCATGTGCAATAATTCTCATAAAAAATATATTAAATAAAATTTCATTTGATTTTAAGGGAAACTCTAGACATATTTCAGAGAAAAACATATTAATTTATATATTTTACATTGCATATATATTAATATAAAGGACTCTCCTATTCCGGTCGCGAATTCGATGCCCTCTCCATACCAGACCAGAAGGCAGCAGTGTCTCGAGCTCGACTTTTCAGCCGGGTAGAACCTTCTCACAAGTCCCGCATTATAGAGTACCTTCAAGAGGCTGGAGAGGTTTCCGCTATGACCGGCGACGGAGTCAATGACGCCCCTGCTCTCAAAAAAGCCGAGATAGGTTACAAAATAATGTCTTAAATTACATGTTATTAAAGTATCCCTTAAAATTAAGTTTTTTCTAAAATATATCTATTGGAGCTCTATTTTATTTATTAAACAATATAAACCACCAATTCATTGAATTTAATATAGATGATCTATTAATTTGATGGCTTATTTTTTCGTTTAGAACTATTGGAAAAAATAAAATATTTTTGCTTTTAAAATCGATTTATCTTATACTGTAGACTGATAATTTTTCCAACCTAAGATCAGAGATTGGAAGGATAGATCTTTAGTAAACGAAAATTAGTTTATTTGTTTTGCTTATAAATTGATTATATTATTCTAATGAGTTCGTTTTTTTGAAAAAATGCTGAACGACGTTCCTATTATTTTTGACAAATTTTGAACATGAACGAGCTTTTTTTGACGATGACGTTCTTTTTCTACTTTCCTGCATTTTTAGAAAATCTTATTTTATTTATTTGGAAATAAAAATTTATTTAATATAAATCCAATTAAAATATAATATTATGAAAATTTTAACTTTATTATAGTGAATTTTTTTGTGTTCATGATAAATTTTGTGCTTTAATATCATTATAAATTCAAATGTATTCATTATGAATAGTTTACGAAAAACATAATTCCGAAATATAGTTCAAGGAAATATATTATGCCACTTGGACACTTACGCGAAATAAAATTAATACCAAATTCGTAATTAATTTAGTGATATGATAAAGGAAGCAGCTGATTAAAAAATCACCCTTTTTTCTTAAATAAATACATATATTCTATGGATAGACACAAGCAAATTTATCCACTCGAACAAAATTACCCAAGCAACAAATTTTAAAAATAGGATTTTTATGAAAATGAGTTATTCTTATAAATATTTTTAATGATACTATGAATGGGATTGGGAATGATACCAAATCACCATCAAGTCAACTCTAATGTATCAACAGAAAGATATCAAATGAGAGAAAATTAAAACCTTATAGATATGGAAAGAAATAAAATCACAGGATTAAATTTTAAAATTTTATAATCCATACAAAAATTAAAATTAACAGCAGATTTATTTTTGATATATTCATGATTAGAATTTAACATGATTCTCACCTAAAAATTTTCAATTATGTATTCAAATATTTATATATTTTTGCGTATATTTAATATTGTAAAATATTTTGTAATTTTTATAAAATTTTATCACAGATAAAGAAAATTTATTCAAACTTTTACATTACGTATAATCATAAATTATTATGACAAAATAAATTTTTAACATTCCAAATTAAAAATGATCATTTAGGCATAGTTAATAAGTTCAGTTTATTCCAAAGCTATGCTTGGTTTTGCTGATTTTATAGAACCCCTCATTACATATGCTATTTACCCAAATGCGTTACCTAACATTAAGTATCTGAAAATTTGAAAGGTTGCTTTTTTGAATAATAAAAGATGAAGTTTGTTACCTGGTAAAAAAAATCTATGAGTGTGGTATCAAAATTCACAATATATCTTTGTAAATAATTTTTTTTGTCTCCTCAGCTACTTAAAAAATTTGGATGTTTCTTTAATGACACAATTAATCTTCCATTAAAATAAATTTATCCAATTAAAATAAAAATATAGCATATTTGTAATTTTAATTATTTAAAATAAAAATTATAAATGATAATAGTTTTCTTTAAAACAAACACTTGAAATATATTAAAATGCTTATTTCTTTCTAAATGCATGGACAGCTGAATTAATTAGTTCACTAATATTTACATATAATTTAGTCGAGCTGGTATAATGATCATAATTTTAACCTGCCACTATTTTATCCTATAGTATAGTTTATTAATTTGAATATATTATAAAATAATTATGAATCTTATAAAATATTTAAATATTATATGCCATATTGGGATATGGAATCCATGGGGATTTTTTTAAATTTTAAAATCAGATTTGACCAGAATTTGAGCATGCATAAAATACGCACACTGTTAGTTACAAACATTTATAGTGTATTTTATATGTTTTTCCACATAAATGAGAAAATTTATAAAAATTTATAGAGAAAATTGAAATTTATAGGGTAGAAACTAGCTGAAATATAATTGCAGTTAAATGGATTTTCTTAAAAATCTTGTTAAATGATTTAAAATCGAGAGATTCCTAACAATCTTGAATTCTATATCCCAACACGATTTATACATAGATATAAAATAGTTAATATCTTCTTTTTTTTGAATTTATTTATTTTTAGTATGATTCTTTGAAATCATAATCTAATCGCTTAAGTTTTTTAATTATTGAACACAATTTATGTTATAAATAATTAAATTTTTAAAATAATCTGTTATAAATAATTACTAAATTTTATTCTTTATATTTAAAAAAATATTTAATTATTAACGAATTAGGTATTGCCATGGGCAGTGGTACCGCTGTAGCGAAATCTGCGGCTGAGATGGTTCTAGCTGATGATAATTTCACTACAATAGTAGCTGCCGTTGAAGAAGGTCGGGCTATTTACAACAACATGAAACAATTTATTCGATACCTCATTAGTTCCAACATCGGAGAAGTCGTCAGGTAAATAAGTACTTCATCCATTTATGCAACATGCCTTATATTTTTTAGAGCCATTATTTTTCTTTTTTTGGCATAAATTTAATATATCAAATTTTAAATTACTTATAAAAATAACAATGTATAGTATATTTTTGACGGCGGCTCTCGGTATGCCTGAAGCCTTAATCCCAGTTCAGTTGCTCTGGGTTAATTTAGTTACTGACGGATTACCAGCCACAGCTCTAGGATTTAACCCACCCGATGTTGATATCATGCAAAAACCACCTAGATCCAACAAAGATACTCTTATATCTGGATGGCTCTTTTTTAGATACATGACCATTGGAAGTTATCATTTTTAATATCTATTTGTTCATCTATATACCAATATTTAAATTTAAACATATTTATATTAACCTAATTTCCTTATCTTAAATTAATAAAAAAAATAACTAGTTAGTTACATAAGCAACCTTGGCTTCTAATTAATTATATATTTTTTCTATCACATATAAATATTATGCTTAGATTCATATTTTCAGAGTTGGGCAAAAAATTCTCAAATTGTATTCGAATATGGATACTTTTCGCATTTTTTTTAACTACACGATAATATATAATATTTGTAAAAAAAATATTTACAAATTCAGGTAGGAAATGAATCAAACTATTTAATGATAAAAAATATAACAAGTATACTTATAAAAATTAATGAAAACCTATTAAAATAATATATCCAAATACTATGGATCCTAAGCATATGACGGAGGAGGTATTAATTAAATTGGCAAAACTAAATAAATGCTCAACAGGTTTGTTGCTATGCTATAATTTTAGAAATTTCTAAAAAGTCAGCCCCTCTCCCCTTCAAATTGACAAGGCTAGCCACGCCACATGTACCTATACTAAAAATATGTATACAGATATGTATTTATCATAGGCGTACCCAATGGAGAGGACTTTCTCCTTGTTAATAAGTTTATAGGATTATATATATGTTGTATTCCATATCAAATCAACTGAAGATTCAACCCGACCCTCTTCGATTTTTTTTAAAATTTGCATGATGGTAGTATATACACTAACTAGCAATAATATAAAATTTTAATTCTCAACTCAGCTTACTTCATGAGATATGGCCATCTTTAGAAAAGCGAAAAGTTCAAAATACACCATATTTAATTTTAAATATCTCAAAAAGTAATTAAGCTAAAGGTATAATTTAAATTTTATTAAATAACTCTAGAATAGCCCTTTAATATGATATAAAATTTATTATATTAAAAATAATTTTATTACCAAAAACCGGAAATAGAAAACCGGAAATGGTTATAAAATAAAAATTGCCCTTTTTTTTTCTTTCAAAATTTTTTAACAAATAGACATTATATATCTTAATATTTGTACAAAATTCTAGATTGGGACCATTACTGGGCCAATAGTTATTACGCTTTAAATATAAATAGTATGGCTTAAATTCTATATTATACGAAATGAGTAATTATTTTTTTATATTTGTGAATAATAGTATTAAAACTGAAATCCGAACCCCATCTTAAGATTTATATTCGCCCCCCCCCCCCAAAAAAAAAAAAATTACATTCGAGATTTTTGACCTGGCAATTCTATGAGTGAATTATGTAGATTATTTTCTTTGCCGGATAAAAAATTATCTTTGTGATCGTCAGAAATATATTTTCATAAAGATTATTTTCTACTTATAATTAATTATCAAATAAAATAATTATCATAAAAATCAAATTCAATTCCAACAGCAACAGCCGTCATTTTTATTGATTAATTTTATAAAGCCATTTTTCTAAGAAAATTAAATTATCGGTATTCATTATCCAATTTATTTATAATTTAAAATAATTATATAAAATTAATAGCTATCTTTTATTCCTTACCAAAAAAATTTAAATGTCTAGAAAAGTTATTTTTATTCCAGTAAAGTGCTGTAATCCCTTTAGAATAAAATCTCATTCAGTACGTTACGATCTTAGAAATGTTTTACAATGGATGATAGAAGTGAATTCTAGCTTATCTATTAATCAAAAAATTTGTAGCTCTTCCCGGAAAAAATTAAAAAAATATTCAACAAATCTGATCTCACCTTTTACTTCTACGATCCCGATCACATTACCTTCTATTTCTAACTTACCTTCTACCTCAACTATTAATGAAACATTTAGTGATTCTGAACCTGATCAACCATGCAATAATCCCGACTCATATACAGATTTTAATACTTCAATTTCAACTTTAAATGAAACTTTGCCATTTTTAGGGGAGACACCTATTAAAAAGAAAAGGTTAAATGAAAAAAAATATCCTGTAAATAAATTTTTGAAAATTCAGGGAAAAATTAAAAAAGTTTTTAAAATAAATCTAGAGGATCAAGCAAAAAAAGATGAAGCCGAAATCATAAATCAACTGAAAGAAAAATTTGCTACAAGTTCTCGCAATGAAAAAATACAAATTTTAACAGTTTTACCAAAATCTTGGACTCTTGATAAAATTGAAAAGGAATTTTCAACCACAAATTTTATGGCCCGGACAGCTAAACAATTAGTTGAAGAAAAGGGTGTTTTGTCAAACCCAAATATCATAAAACCAAGTAAAATAATTCCGGATGACATTGCAAATAAAGTAATAGAATTTTATAATTCTGACGAAAACAGCAGACTTATGCCAGGTATGAATAATTTTATATCAATGAAAGTTAATGGGAAAAGGAACCAAGTACAAAAGAGATTAGTTTGTGTAATATAAAAGAATTATTTACCAATTTTAAAGAAATAAACAGTAATATAAAGATAGGTTTCAGCAAGTTTGCTATCATGAGACCAAAAAACTGTATTTTAGCAGGCAGGTCTGGAACGCATACAATGTGCATCTGTATATTTCATCAAAATTTTAAATTAATTATAATTGGGAGTAAATTAAATCAGTTAACTTCAAACCAGCATAATTGTTCCTTTTATTTATTTCAAATAAATTTAATTCAATTCTTGAAAGAAAGATTTGATAAGATTTCAATAATTTATAATTTTTCTGATGGAGCGGTTACCCAGTATTAGAACAAAAAAAACTTTGTAAACCTCTACAACTATTATAATGATTTTGGGATCAAGGCAGAATGGCATTTTTTGCAACTGCACATGGCAAAACTATTTGCGATAGTTTAGGGGGAATTACTAAGAGGTCGGCTGCTAGAGCAAGCCTGCAACGTCCTTATGAAATCATATATTAACTCCTATGGATTTATATAATTATGCGAGAATTAATATCCCGGGTATTAATTATACATTTGTCAGCAACGTTGAATATTTAAGAATGGAAACCAATCTCGAAAATAGATTTTTAACGGCCAAACTAATTCCCTGGACACAAAAATATCATTCATTTATTCCAATGGAAGGAAAAATGAAAGTCAAACGTTATTCTAATTCATTAGATAATTTAATGTATGATATTATTTAATTTAATATGTTTATAACAATATTAATTTTCCATTTGATATTCATGTAATATAAATAATTAGCTAAATAAAGTTATAAATATTTTTACAATTATTTTCTCTAAAATAAAATCGCTAAACTTATATGTTAAATATGACATAATGTCTACTAGTGGGCTCACAGCCCGAAACATTTAGGAATTTTCTTTTTATTTGTTTCGTAAATTACTATATATTTGGTATAATTTAGGATTTAAGCCATACTATTTATATTTAAAGCGTAATATCTATTGGCCCAGTAATGGTCCCAATTTAAAATTTTGTACAAATATTAAGAAGTATAATGGCTATTTGTAAAAAAAATTTGAAAGAAAAAAAAGAGCAATTTTTATTTTATAGCTATTTCCGGTTTTTGGTAATAGACTTTTTATTAATAAAATAATTTTTATATCATATTAAAGGGCTATTCTAGAGCTATTTAATAAAATTTAAATCATGCCTTCAGCTTAATTACTTTTTGAGATATTTAAAATTAAATATACTGTATTTTGGAATTTTCGCGTTTCTAAAGATGGCCATATCTCATGAAGTAAGCCGATTTGAAAAGTAAAATTTTACATTTTTATTAGTTAGTGTATATACTACCAACATACAAATTTTTAAAAAAATCGATAGGGGTCGGGTTGAGAATCGACTTTTTTTGGTTGATTTAATATGAAATACAACATATATATATGATAAAAGCTAATAGAAATTATCCTCCTAAACTCACTCCCTTCACACCATATCTCCCAAAAATAATTGAAAAAAAATATATATAAGTTAAAGGTTTTTTAAAGAAATATATATATTTTTTTAAATATACAGCCAAAATTATTTTAAAAAAAATGTAAGCCAACCAAGGCCTTTAAAAAACCTAATTAACCTCCAATTAAAGTTACTGGAAGAAAACTACCCAACAGGTGTTCCTTCCCCCCCTCCCCCCCTAAAAAAATCTTGCTTCGCCTCTGTGTTTTAAATATATACCCACAAAGTTTTTCAAATGTATTTTTTAATTAGGTAACATCAAGAACATACATAATATTTATAACTTTTTTATAAAATATTTAAGGATGTCACAAAATTTGAGAAATACTGACTATATCCATTTATAATTATCCACATAGTTTACACATTACCACAACTTTACTAGTACTATTATTCAGGGATGAAAACCAGAACCCTCGATATTTCGTTGAACTCTAACCCGAACTCTTTTTTAAAATTTAGGGTTCAGGGTCCAAAGCTTTATTTTTAAAAAAATTTATTTTTTTTATTTTAAACTTTCATTTTATTTATTTATAGTTATATGTTAAAAAATATAATATAAGAAACATAGATTTACGATTTTCATTTATAAATGAGTTCTTATTTAAAACAATTGTTTTTTTATTCAAAAAAAATATTAATTTAAAAAACATTTTTTGATCATTTTTCGTGTCATGTTTGTTATATATAGAGTCGGCCATTTTTCGTAAAAATTTTTAAATTTTACCCAACAAAGCAAAAGTTTTTTTAATAATATCTATTTTTAGGATATTGTTGTTTGTAGATTATTAAATTGATATTAAGACAAAGAGAAGTACAAAATCACAAATATATTAATGTTATTTTAACTAATTTTAATAAGTCATTATTTTTCTGGTCTCCAAACCCTGAACCCGAATCCCTGCTATTACAATCTTGGGTTACTCAAAATATTTTCCATTGAGTTGCTATTTGAATATTTAATCTTTATACTATATTGAATTCTTCATGATTCGATTATTGAATTCTATTATATCTTGTTCTACTTCTATTATAATAAAATCCATAATAGTAAGTAAAAAAAAATTAATGTCAATTGTGCGAAGAATCTAGGGTATTAATTTTTATAATTATCAAATATAAAAATTAGAGAAGTATTTGTATCTTTTTGAAATTTAAATTGATTATAAGGTACAATTATTTGCTACACTATCCAACCCTGCTTAAGATTAATAGTAAGATAAGATGTTTATACTAAAATTTGGAATGGCGCAGAGTGCAAAAATCCCTTTGATGTTAATGATTTAAATTAAACATTTATCAAGCCTAAATTTTTTCAAATTTAGTGTTTTATTTTATTATTAGTCATCTACACTGTGACATCTCGTAAATAGCTTTTTTTTAAATGAGAAGAGAAAAAAACATGTCTAATTAGTCCTATTTTAATATAAAAAAATATTGATGTGATAAAAACATGTATATAATAATTAAAGAGATTCGAGCTTTTAGTAAATGAGGACCTAAGTTACAAGATCTTGCAGTGAGGACGTTATATTGAGTAGATAATTTATAATAACTAAAAATACCCGTTATTGTTTAGAAAAATAAACTTATTTGTAACAAATTACCTTTCAAATAACTAATCTTATGTTTTTTTTAGTGTACGTTGGAATGGCCACTGTAGGAGCAGCAGCTTGGTGGTACATGATACACGATAAAGGCCCTCATCTTAACTATTATCAATTGGTAAGATTTACTTTTTTTAACCGAACTTATATCGAAATAATTGTTTTAAAATTTGTAGACGCATCATTTATCTTGCCCGACAAATCCTGAAGCCTTCATGGGTGTTGATTGTAATGTATTCGATGATCCTCATCCAATGACTATGGCGTTATCTGTCCTAGTCACAATTGAAATGTTGAACGCACTCAATAGGTTATTTTTGGTTTAAAATTTAATTTTACAAACTTTTTAATTTTTGTACACTACATTACAATTATATCTGTTTAGTTTGAGCGAAAACCAAAGTTTACTTGTTATGCCCCCATGGAGTAACATGTGGCTTATAGGTGCTATCACATTATCCATGTCTTTACATTTGTTGATTCTCAACGTTGAAGTTTTATCTGTAAGTTTTTTTTTTAATTTAAAAAATGCTTTATTTTTTAATTCTAAAAATTAAAACATTATTCTTTTAAATTGAAATATAAGAACTCGCTAATTTATCAAATTAGGTCGTATTTCAAATATGTAATCTCACAGTCGAAGAATGGATAGCTGTTTTAAAAATATCGTTCCCCGTTATAATACTGGACGAAATCTTGAAATTCATAGCAAGAAAAGTCACCGACGGTATTTTAATTCTTATAAATAGTTAATAATAATTACTTTAGCTCCTAGCTTTTCGAAACTTAAGACGGCATAAGAAATTCTATCTATCTCTTAATCGATTGTGTAAACGTATAAAAAAAACTACTGCTATTTATGCGTCAATATTAAAATGTGATATAAAATAGCATTAATTATTCGACAAAATTCACATATTGTATACGTAATTACCAATATTCGGAAAAAAAATTCTAATCATTTTGCCTTAAATTATATATTTTTTAAATCTATTCCATTAAATTCCCTAAAAGCTTAATAATCTGTCCTGTTTTTAATTTTTTTTATTACTTTATAAATATAATGCTTAGTTAATTTTTGAAGGAGAGTTATAATAATAACATTAAATATCCTTTTTGATCATCCCAATTTTTATGCCTTTTTAAAATAAGATAAATGCTAATATATATAAATTTGATGTTATCTGAAAATCTTGACTTGTAATTGTATATAATTAAGTTAAAGTGTATTTTTGTACATATAGTTAAAATTTACTTGGTAAAATATCCGCTTTCTCTTATTAAAAAAATGTCCAATTGTTTATTTTTAATATATTATATATTGCTGTGTGATATTTATAAATATGTAATTTGTGTGGAAATATAATAATAAACTAAAAATCCATAGAAATTAATTTACGCTTGTAATTTGTATTACTTTATTTTAAGAATAGTTTAAAAATAAAATAATCATATTTTGTAACTTGATCAAATTTTTGATTTTTTCAAAAATGTATAATTTTCAGCGGCTTAAAATAGAAATGATTTCGTAAAAATTATAAGAATAAATAACAAAAAATAATAATATAATTTCTAGTATTCTAAGGTTTCTTTATATATAATTATTAAATTTAATGGTTTTAATATGTATTGCAAATATATAAATAATGGAGAGGCTAATAAAATTATAAATATTGTTTCACAATCATAGGCAAATAAAGGGCTATAAGCTAAAATTACAAAAATGAAAATAAGCTTTACAGAGAATTATAGTTGGAATAAGTTAAAGAGTCATGTAGTTCATAATGATAGGTTATTGTTTTTTCTTCAATTTTGACACTTTATCTTTAACGCTATAGTTGCACAATTATATAAAAAAAGATATATAATTTATTATACATTTGAGCTTTATCTTTAATGTTTCTCAATGCGATGTCCTTATTTTTGTCAATCACAACCTAGGAAATAATTTTAATAAATTAAAGTGTAACATTTTACCTTAGCCTTATTGGCAGCATCATTAATTTGAACCTAAAAAAACATTTATAGGAATTATATAGGCATAAAAATATTTTAGATACCTTATAAGTGGAATAAATCTTAGGAATAGTGAATATCGACACAAATACTAAAAAATATATATGGAATAAGTTTGATAAACTAATTATACATAGAACAAAAAGAGTAAGTCCGTTAAAGTAAGCTCCAACGTAAGTCATTGCCCAAAGAATAAATCCAAACTAAAAAATATATAAAAATTTCAGTATAGCTAGAATATTAAAGTCACATCCCACTTTGATGTAAAAAAATCTCTCAACACTCTTAAATTTAATATTACCTAAAGAACTTCAACAAATATAGTGGCATATTAATTGATTTATAAATTGAATTTAAATAAGAGAATGACTAGCTTCTTTCCACCTTCTAAATTAATAAAGTTATATAACTATAAGATATAGTAATGTTGTTAAGTGGCTCGATTTGAACCAATTTTTAAAAACGACTAACTCAAGATTTTAGCTAGAAAAATATTGCCAAAACTTTGAGATTTTGCTACTAGATGTCCAAACCTTTGTGCTATCTATGAGCAAAATCTTCAGGCTTACGTTATTTTCTTATGGATAAAGTACTGAGTTAGCCGTTTTTAAAAATCAGCTTAAATTGAGCCGTTTAACAACACTACTTGGTTTTTTAAATTATTTATGATTTTGAAAATACCTTAACAGTGTCCATAACATCTTCCACCAAAAATATATGACGAGCCTTTTTAATCAAGTAGTTAAGTTGCGATATCACTTTAGTACTAATTTTTTTGCCGGTTTCAGGAGATATAACAACATCTTGATCCAAATATTCTCTAAATACACAAAAAAAGTTGTTCTAATTTTGTTTAGTATCGATGAATACTTGAAAACATGGCCCTGCCTTGTTTTGTTCAGAGTTTGCATCAAATTTCTATATAGGTAAAGTCCGACGGAACAAGCTAATAAAGCTAGCCCAACATAACCAATAACCGAAATAATGGAAAAATATGAAAGAGTGAAGAGAATTAAGAGAAAGAGAGCAAACATACCTCCACTGATTCTTACATCTCTCCAATATATTAAATCCTTCACTGTTGTAAAAATTTGTATATTGATCAAAAATTATATATTATATTAAGTAAGACATACCCTTTTCCTTAATCGCATCCAAATGGATCAATTCTCCTTCGGTATTTTCTATTTAAAATTAATAAATTCGATTGATTAAAGTGTTTTAAATATTTATAATATTTTTTGTTGCGCAATGTTTTAACAATTAATATGGGTCAAATGCATTATTTTAAAAATGTGACAATTTTAATTGGTTGTCTTTATAATCTGGTCGATCAGCTGTTTAGTTCTTTAAAATATATAATATTTATTAGGCATGCTTTATTTAATGATTGAAGAACGATTTAAATTATTTTTATAACCAATAATTATAAAAAGAAACTGATCTATCAAGAATAAAAAAATTTGAAATAGGACAATAAAGAGTATTTTAAATCGATAATATTAAACCATATTAACAATGAAAATATTGGTATAATTTCGCTTCATAGACGAAAAGTAAATTTTTCCAATGTGCGGTCAATAAATTATTGATAATTTAAGATATATATTTTTATCCGGAACTTTCAAGTCACAATTAGAGTCGCTGATTGTGGTTAATCAAGTGATTTAAACTAAATAATGAAATCAATAATTATTGTTATCAATTCAGAATAAAATAAATTGATTTTATTTCTGCTATAACTGAACACTTCCAATTTAGGAAAAGAATTCACAAACTAAATTATTATTTTTCAAGCAAATAATCAATAATTTAAATAATGACAACGATATCCATAGATTTAGTGTTGTTAAAAAGCCCGTTTTGAGTAGATTTTTATAAATGGCCCGATTAAGATGTTAGCCAACTATTGTGTATGTCTCAAAATTTGGCAAAAGTCAAAACCTTTGCCATTTATGCTAAATCACAAGGCTTACACATCGTTATATTGGTTACAATCTTAATCGGGAGTTTTCAAAAATCGAACCGAAGTCTTTTTAACAACAGTACACAGATCATTGACAGATCAACAGACCCAATTTCCAAAAAGGTAGGCGCCTGCATTTAGATCAAATTTATAAATAGTTATTTTATTTGCCAAAATCAGTGTGGATTGATTCTTTGGTTGCCCTTTTCTATAGGTCGGGGATGTGCCCGATCAATTGAAACAATAATTATACCTTTGATTTAAGAATTGTCAATATGTCATGCCAATGTAGTATTTATTCACATACTTTCCTAGGCGAATAAAATTAGATCAAAGCTCTTTGCTTGATTATTATGGGGTTATATTATTTGAACTCAGAAAATTTTATAAAAATGATTTTAAAAAACAGGATGCCATCCACAATTAATAGAATTATTCAATAAAAATGTTGCCTATTATGTTAAAAATTTAATCAAATGAAAATATATCATATTAGAATATATGGAATCCATGAGAAATCCGAATGTAAGCTTTTGAAAGTTTTCATCGTGCTGTGCATTTTAAAAATTTATATAAAAGGTAATAGTTCATGATAAAATGTCTGAAATTCACTATATGCTAGAATGCATTTCTGAAAAAAAATTTTGCGCAAATGAGTTTCTTAAATTTTTTATGAAATTTAAATAAATGTAAATAAAACCAATCTGTATTTGTAAAAAAAAAATTGAAGTGCCAATTTTCTGCTTTAATGAGGAAAATGAAAACAATAAAAAATATGGATTATTTTTGTTTAATAGATAGTAGTATTAATTGTTTTTTTATTTAACCACTGGTACAGTATATATATATATATACATAAATATAATATTTTTAAACAAAGTAGTTATTTTAAAATGTAATAAAAATTTATTTCTATATAGTACACATTGAACTTTAATACTAGGAATAAAAAATATATTTTATGCCCAAGAAGCCCCCAACATTGAGAAAATTTGAGATCCATAACTCAAAAATCTTTGACCTCACAAGCATAACATATTTAATTATTTCTCAAGAAACTAGCATATAGGCATTATTTTATATCATTTTTGAGTATTAAAAAAAATTAAAATTTATATGATGATATGAATTTACCATCTTTATTTTTTTTGGCCTATTATTAAAGGTGGGAAATAAGAGCCCCCTCAACAATAATCTTTTCCCAACAATTTAATTAAAAATTTTTGATATTTCTAATAGCCATCTATTATTTATTATTATTTTTGAAAAATTTATGAATCTAACAATTGAACATTTGCTTAATTTTTGAAGCAAAATCAACTTAGCAAAAAGATATAAAATCATAATCTCATCAAACTCACCTACAGATGATTAAGAGAATTTTGATGAAAATCAAATGCCAAAATTTACATTCAGATACAACTGATGAAAATGATCTTTCTACAATTTTCAGCAATTTAAAATGAAGAAAGCAACATTAATCTCTACAAGCCCTTTTAAGGTGTGAGGAAAGTTTAAAGATATATTTAATATTGGGCAAGTAATATTCTCTAGTTTATTGTTGTTAACTGGTCTGATTTTTAAAAACAGCCCAATAAAGATTTCTATAAAATAATATTATGTATACCTTTAGATTTGGCACATAAAGGTTTAAACCATTCTGTCATCTATGAGCAGGTAAAATAAACCTTTCTGCCATCTATGAGCAAAATCTCCAGGCTTACATAATATTATTTTGGTTAAAATCTTAATTGAGCCATCTTTAAAAATCACCCAAATTGTCCCATTTAACAACACTACTCTAGTTGTATAAATAATTAAATGATACCTCCTTTTGCAAAATTAAATTATCCAATGTAATATTTATTCAAATAATGAATAAGGTAAATATAACAATCCCATATATTAAAGATAATTGAAATTCTTTATTAAATTATACCAAACATAATTTGTCAATTAGAAGAACAGATCATACATTATCAAGGAAAGTATTAAGGGTTAAAAGAGATATAATAACTAGACAAGATTAAATTTAATATTCTGCAATTTTCCAAATAAGTTTCATAATTATCTTTATAGAAATCAAATATTTGGGTATTGTTTTTGTAAAATATTCTACTTTCCTCCAAGAAACTTTTTGTCTCATTTGTGTCATGATTTGCAAATTAGGCTATTAATAACCTATTTCAAATAAGAACATTTACCTTTTTCATATTCTGAATTTTTTTTATCCACATTAAATTTGGCAATTTTTTATAATTAACCAAATTTTTTTTTACTGCATAAACAAAAAATATGAAAATTGAATTAGAGCCCTGTAAAATTATTTTTTGTGAGCTTAGATTAGCTAGAAATGATTATTTAATGTCTGAGTCCACCCCATTGAAAATATAAATTAAAAGGCAGATAAATTTTAATTATAATTTCATTTTAAAGAGAAAACATTATTTTCTATTATATTTCTAGAATTTTATTTGGCCCAAGCCCAATTTTAAAAAATAATCACAGCTGAGCTCAACCCAAATTTTTTAGGCCTAAGTCAAGCATGGCATGCTGGGCTGCTCTAGCCTTGATAATATATATATATGATGATACAACTACATTTATTTTAAATACAAAATGATTCTATAAAAATCTTAACTATTTGAGTTAGGGTAGTATATAAAAAACCATTAAAATAAAGTTGATAGTCCTTTTTAATGTAAAGAGTGTGAATTTTGACTAACTCAATTTCAAAAATTAGAATACCTTATAATAATCAACAAATAATTAATTAAGTATGATTTATATTTCAATATTAAAATATATTATAAATTATGAAATACACTGTACAAGATCTCTAAATAAAACCATTCATCCATAATATATAAATAAAAGGTCAAATATAATACCAGATTTATGGTGTGCTTTTATATCTTTATTATGGTTGTTGGATGATTCAAAGTATGGAGATTCCTTTCGTTCTGGTTTACTACTGTAAATATCTTCTTTGTTGAAATTGGTTGGTTTATTTTTACTATAGGGCTCATTGCCATAGTAGTCACCTTCGTTATCAAAATCTAAGAGAGGAGATGGTTTATTATGCGTTAGGTTATTTGAATAATGATCATCTTTCTTGTAACTCGATCCTCCTGTTCCGTAGTAATCATCTTGATTTGAAGTCGGATCAACTTTATGCTTATCAAAATCCATAAATAAAATCAATAAAGATGACAGCGGTTATAATGCCAATTTACTTTTCTTCAAATAGGAAAATAAAATGAAAATTTATATTTTTATGGGGTGCGGTTCAACCGGTGCAAACCATTTTGAAGAATAACAAGGGCATTAATTGTATTAATGTATTTTTGTAGATAACCTCTAAATTTATTGCATTTGATTTATTCATACTACTAACATAAACATGGTATAAAGTTGTTATTTTCTAAGTATTTCCAAACAACAGAATCTACTCAAAACATAGATATATAGTAATTTAAAATCAGCCCTTCCCTTGTCTTATAAAGTAATTAAATATATATACAATTTATAGTATCAATCAGCTCATGGAAGTTAAGTAATAGTCATAGTACTATTACGCGTATAAGTATGCGCGGTTTTCCCACAAATGTGTAAAGAGCTCCTCATTCCGCCTCCCCCCCCCACACCCCCCTGCTATATTAAATATTCAATTTGATGGGTTTGGGGAAAACATAGCGTAGATCTGTAGATGGCTTAGAGCTGAAATCACGTAAATAATATTTCGATTTAGGTACACTCATAAGATGCTTTGCTATTAAAATAATTTCAGCATACTATAATATGAAATCATTAGTTGTGTCTGAATTCTTTTTGCCTATCTTAATTTATGCTAATTAAATTATAAATTGTATAGTTAGGTTATTCTCTATTTAGAGATATTTTGAAGGATTCTTAACCGGCTAAAAATGGGTAAATCTGACTTATAGTCGAAACCTGTCATCTGAGTTTTAAGTTTTTTTCTTGGTAATACAACTTTGAAGAAAAATAGAAATAAATAATTTGTGTCTCAGTGCCTAGTTGTTTTTTCCCCTTCCTATCATTAATTTTTTTTATGCAGCATTAAATAAGCTTTCATTAATTAATTCTCTTTTTTGAATTAATTTACAGAATCTCTAATTTTTTAACAGAACTAATTATCTTAGTGACATGGTGGAAAATATTTATTCTACAAGTTGCATTGGGCACTTATTCTCATAACATCTTCAGAATACATTATAAAAATTTAATGATTTTTGTACAGGTCTTGATTTTTTAAAGATTTATCTAAATATAATTATTTTTCAAGATTTATATAAACAATTATTAAAATTATACATTCTCTTTTAATTAATAATAAATTATTAGTTTAGAAATTAGATTTTACGACAAATAAAAAGTATTAATTGGATACATTAATATTAAAACAAATTAATTTGAAGGTTGAATTGGTCTTTTAATTGAATCCCGAACATATATTTCCTGGACAAAAATACCCTGGGCATAAAGACGTTGGACATAAACTGGTGAAATAGTTATGTTGGCTAAATGTTTTGTCACACGTGGCAAAGCTTGATATGGGCTAGGGTTAATCTAAGCATAAATGTAAATTGTAGATTATGGGAAATTATTAATTTTATGAAAAAACAAACCCACTAGATTCGGTAAAATTTAATAGATACTTAGGAAGATATAGTAGATTCTAGTTCCAACTAATATTTTTATTTAGAATATAAAGATCCTTCATATTCCCTACATATTATTTAACCATACTAGATAGATAGAGGTTAATATCTTCCAAAATCTATAATAAACTAGACGCTCAATGCAATCCGCCCTAAAAATAAAATAAAAATATCATGTAGCAATTTGTTGATAGCCCAAATTTAATTATTTTTAATATATATTAACGGAATCACGCGGTCCTCACCTATACTCTATATATTATTTCCCATATCACAGGACCACCTAGCTGGCTTCAGGAAAAAACATGGTCTTTGATTAATTCAAACCCAAACTATCGGATTAGTGATAAAGGCATTTAACTGACGAGTCCACAGACTCTACTCAAAACCACAATTTTATCATAGATAAAGATAAACTGATGATGCTATCTTCAATAAGATATAAAAATTGTATTAATTTTTTTTTTCTAATTACATATATACCTTTATATAGATGAGTCATCATATTAAATTAAGGTCCTAATTATCTACATATTAGAATCCATATCATTCAATATATGGTCTAATTATAAATAGATTTTTTTATATTACTTAATCTTATTGTGTGGTAAAAAGTTGTAGATTCCTAAAATTATTTGTAGTTAATATTTATATTTAGTATTCATTTTTAAAGAATGTAGTTGTATTTATTTATGTTTAGTATACATTTAAAAAATATGTATTTGCTTGAAGTGTATGCATTTATTTCGAATACATTTTTTTGAAAATTTGCCCAACCCTGTCTAGTATAGCACTTTGGTTATCCAGCACCCCAAATAATTAAACTACCCTCTCCATCCGGTTCAAGCAACAATCAAGTACTGAGTTATAAAAGTAATTTTTTGTCATTTTTAATTTTTAGTTGAAAAAAAACTCAATAAATATGAAAATATTAATGTATATTTCTAAATGATAAATTTATATTTCTAAAAAATTAATATAAAATAAAATTTAAAACTTAATTAGGAAAATATATCTCGCTAATGTCATCGCTATTTTCATAAAAATGTAGCTTGCTATTAGCTATCACTACAAAAAAAGGTAGCGCGTTATTAGTTGTCACTAGAAAAAAATGCCTGAGAATATACATAATTCGCAAATTTAGGCTTTTAAATAAACTTGATTATATTATTATAATTGTACATATTTTAAATAAAATATTAAAATCATCATTAGATAAAATTGAAGTTTTTCATGATTAACAAAGTGTTTAGAAATCTTAAACTATAATTAACAATCAAATAATAAATATTAGTTTTTAATGAAGAATAAGCTTGATTATAATACTTAAATTATACATCTTTTTTAAAATTATTACAATTATCATTAAATAAAAGTGAAACTTTTTCATGATTAATAAAGTGTTTAAAAATCTACTATAATTAACATTAGAAATTAATAATAATAAATATTAGTTTTTAACGAAACATTATTTACATGTAATTTATATATTATGCTAAATCTTTTTCCTTTTTTTGTTAGACCGATCTGAGCAAGTAACATATGATTTCTTATTTTTCAGCAATTGGGGATTAGGTTCTCCTTGTTCAGGAGATAAAAAATTGTAAAGCTTGGATTTGGCGTCAAGGTCCGTCTCTTCGTTTAAAATTTCGTCCAATTCCTTTTTCAATTTATCAAAGTGTTTTAAAGAGATGGGCAGAGAAGATCCAATCGTAAATATAGTCCTAGAATACGTTTGTTTTTTACTGTTAATAGAAAAAATAAGAGAATTAAAGGATATATATTATTTTAACGTATAGAGAATGAGTTGTTATATATAAATTTTATGTCGAAATAATAAACAAGATTTGATTTGTTTATCTAACATAATCTTATTTGGTGGCAAGATCATCTCTTGTATGTGTTTAAGTTAAATTGGGTTATCAAAAGTCTCATTGGATTGGAAATTTAAAATACAAATATCTAGTGTTGTTAAAAAGTCGAGTTCACCCGACTCCGACTCAGAGTCTGAAGTCGTTAGTCGTGAACTCGAGTCGTGAATTTGAGTCGTGAACTTGAGTCGTGAACTTGAGTCGTGAACTCAAGTCGACTCAAGTCGTGAACTCAAGTCGACTCAAGTCGTGAACTCAAGTCGACTCAAGTCGTGAACTCAAGTCGATTCAGGTCGTGAACTCAAGCCGACTCAAGTCGTGAACTCCAGTCAACTCGAGTCATGCACTCAAGTCGATTTGAGTCGAGAACATGAGTTTTTCATTTGAGTCGTGAACTTAAGTCAACTAGAGGACGAATATTTCGAATAGGTATATCGTTATTTTTAAAATTTTGTGAAATTTTTTAAAGCAAATGGGTAAAATATATATTATAAACATGTTAAATTAAAATTTCAATGGAGATCTACCATAGATAAGTGACAATTATCATTTTTTATTTTTTATTTAATTTTTTTGAACTTACAGGGTAAAATAATAAATTGTAAACATGTTAAATTAAAATTTCAGTGAATATGTACCATAGATAAGTGACATATCTAATTCTCAACTCCCTTTTGAAATTATTTTAATATATATATTTTGAAATTATAACATTACTCATATCCATTATTTTTAAATTAGGTTAATATGATCTTGTTGGGAAACACTTAAACCTCTGGGCAGATGATAATAATATCATATATGTTAAATTTTTTGAGCCAACCGGAATGGAGTTGAACTAGGAAGATGCATCAATATAAACATGATATTTTTGGGAACAACAAATTTAAAAATATTTTTTCTTTAATCTTTTAAATCAATTTTAGATCTTAGAAACTACTATTTGGATATATCTAGTAAAATACGCCCCCCTCTGATTATACTATTCATACAAAAAATCTATTTATATTGTTATTATCTAAATCAGTCATATATATGAATTTTTATTTATTAAAAATTCAATGTAAACATTAACTTTATAATGAAATAGGTTATATAAATAATGATTTAAAATATCACATTATTTAACAATGTACGATTAAGCTTTATAATTAAAATATCATCAAGTATATCTTTGTCTAATCTTGTCCTTAGAGAGGTTACAGTTAGTGATAATGAACTAAATGCTCTCTCAACTGAGACCTGGGTGCAAGGAGCAGCAAGAATTATTTGATTTAAATAATTCTGCATCTTATTTTTTTTATTTTACATTATATATAAAAAAAAAATTTTGTAATTTTTAATTTTAAGTTTAACTTTCTTGTTTTTTCCTTTTATTTTTATTTTCACTTGTTTATTATATTTTGAAATAAAAAATCAGGAATTAATAATGTTATATAAAATAAAAAAAATGAATAAAATAATTGTTTTATAATAAAACCCCCATTTATAAATTTGGGTGGGATACATTTATTTAATGTTTTTTTTATTTATATTTATAAAAAATCAAATATAAAAAATGCATTTTTTCTTTTCGTTTTTCCCATTGTCTCTTTCTCTCCCTCCTTTATTTATTTTTATTTAATGTTTTGCCTTATGAATTAAAAGAAAATAAAATATCTCAAAAAAATGAGTAATGTTGTCATATCTGATATCAGATTA